TAAATAATAGTTTACAACGTGTTCCTTCTTTCGAAAATAATTTAATGCAGTACTCACCTTCATGTTGTGAAATATTCAAAAATTTGTTCCTGACTACTACGAATCGAACTCCTTCCCCGCTTCAGTGACTTTGTACGCCATGTTAAATATTTCAACCGCACTCGCTCGTAGAAGTCCAAGACGAAGTAGAAATATGAAACAAGTCGTACAGATTTAGTGAAAACTTTAATCAAAGCGAAAATGATAAACGTTTTCTTGCAATTCTCATGTGTTTAGCACCTTCCCTCGTTCGAAAAGTATAAGCGCCATGTTGAAAAATTCTGCTGTGTAACTAAACTACCATGATGCTTAGCAATTCCGCAATTGGCCCATTGAATGAACATGATTTGCCCACTAGAATGGGTTGTCCAGACACACCGGACGCGACTCGACAATGCGACGCGATTTTTCAGTTTTTTTCAGTTTTCATGAAAATTGAAAATTCGCGTCGCGCTGCCAAATCGCGTCCGGTCTGTATTGACCTTGATTTGTGTAATAATTTGTATGTGTATAAATGGGAAAAACAGATTTACACAAATGTTCAACAACCTTTGTGCATTATAGGTTCATCTTCACATGTGGTATGTCTATGTGTATATATACAGTATATATTGGACAAACTATTAGGAAACTATCAGGCATGATTAATGTTCGCAGAACCATTGCCAGTATAGATCACACTATTCTTAAGCTAGTTCATCTGGACAGTTTGTCTTGTCACCTGAACATGGATGATCATGGGTATGATCTTGAAGATACAGTAATTAACTAGCAATATTACAAAAATATTTTCATACAATTGCATCTTCATCAGAGTCAAAATCAACGATCATGTCTTGCTGAACATGAACAGGTTCATCAGGGTTGATTGGCGGTTCTTTTATTTTCTCAGATTCTCTCGCACTGTCAACCCTGAGACCACGTTGATATAACATATCACTGATGTAGGTCTTCACTGCCTCAATATCCCTGCTGCCTTTGTATGTATCCACCTAAATGTAGTAGAGAGATGTAATGAGCAATATGATGTGATACTGGTAGGATTAAGTAAGTGTGTTGGTCATCAAAGTCTTCAGAAATGTTACCTGATGTCCATCTTGAAACATGGCTAATGTTGGAAATTTGTCGACTCCCCATTTTCTGCATTTTGACGTCTCAATTGTGCAGTCCACCTGACAATATAACATTCAATTGTATTCTAAGGCTAAATGTGACTGTTAATGTATGTGTTGTACATAGGTCAGTAAGTTCGTCGTCAGTGATATTCAGCCTCACTTACTTTGCCAATGGTAATATCAGGATTATCTTCATAATGTTTAGCGATAGCTTTCCATGTTGGCTCAAAACGTTTGCAATGAATACACCTGTATATAATATGGCAATTAAGATGAAACATACTTCACAAATCTTGCCGGACAAACACTATCTGGAAAAAATCCGGCATTATTCTACCCTTGGAAATGGTCGGTAAGAAGTTGATTGGTAAAATTGAATTTGTTGGTGTAGCAAAGCGGCTGTAGAGGAACACCCCGCCCCCCTCCCTCACCCCCTCTGTGAATAAATGTCTAGTCCGTATACCATTGGCAGTAGAGATCATGCTATTCTAGCTATTTCTGATAGTCCATCTAATTGTGTTTACACCAAGACTGATGATCAACCATAATCAGATGATATATAAATTTGGTCATTTTCAATTACCCACCAAGGAGCGTAGAAATCCACAAAGTGCAGACCAACACCCTGTTTTATGTGAGCATCAAAATTTTCACTTGTCAACGTCAGTAAACCTTCTTCTTCATCAATATGAACTTTCTAAAGGTTACAGAAAATATTAAGTTCTATGAAGATTATCTATTAGTAAGACTAAACTGCTAATTATTTTCCAAACTGACATAATTAAGAACTTGCTCAATAAACACTGCCAGTTCACCGACACTTCGTCTGCCATCAAATCTTGTCATGTCTCCATCATGGAACAATTTCATCCTGTTTTGGAACAAAACAAATGTACTAATTAATTGTTAATTAGATACAAATGTGATTTGACTGTTGATACAAATTAACACTCCAATGATCAGGGAATTAATTAGTTAGAGTAATTTGATAGAGAATGAAGAACTTAAGAATTAACCCAGATCTAGATATTAAAAGTTAATTAAATAATCAACTAATTAGCATTAATTACTACTAATTAATATTACTAATTAATATAGTATTCAATTAAGTTTATGCTAATTATTAGTGAATGAGGCTATAAACTTTAAATTCAATTATAGTAATTATATACTTACGTTGGGTATGCCACAATATTTTGGGCAGAGCAAAATGCAGTTTCTTCAATGCAATTAACCTGAGATCATTACAAGAGCTTGTTAATTATTGTTGTTGTTCGTTAACTAACGATTCAATTCTTATGCTGCCTTCATGCCCCCTACCTACCTTGGTTATTTTCATATTATTCCATTTATTTTGTTCATGTGATTTATCTGCAAGTTGGTTCCATGTGGGTAACAGTTCTTTACAATGACTACACCTAAATGTTCAATGTAATTAGGCACTCATGTCTATAAATAGATTTCATCCTGCTTTGCGGATGTTCCGAGTAAAATAACACTTTTACAGTCGCGCACATTGCCATTTAAGGGACAGCAGGATACACAGGCAGATAGTCTGATTAACCAGTCGAGTGCCAGCACTCTCCCCTCTGACAGCACTCTCCCCTCTGACGAGTAAAATGGTCTGGCATTAGACAGAGTAAAATAAATAAACAAAGGGCTCATTAGACTCAAAAGGTTAAGGTTGACGAGATGTTAAGGTTTTAACGAGAATTTGACAGGTGTTACAGTAATCTGACGACTCAATCATATTTATTAAACCTCGCACTTGACCTTCAAATTACCTTTGTTACATATTCTAGTATTCTACATATATTTTTTACAAAACTTACCAAGGAGCATAAAATAACACAAATTGTGGCTGTATGGCATGGCGAAATGTTTCTATATTTAAGAAATCTGCAGAGCATTGAGTATTGAAAATGTTTTGAAGAAATAATACGGCAAATAGTGCAAAGGAAACCTTCATGTTTTTATTTTGAAATATAATATTTTACGTGGTCGCGTTTGATTCGAGAATCACAACCAAGTAGGGTAGGGTAAGTTGATTTGATAAATAACATTTACATTCAGAGAGTTTTACAAACGAAAGCTTGATGAAATCATTATAATATGTTTTTATATAAATGTAATGATCCCGTGTTTCTGTTGAACGTAAAACATATAATGATATAAAGTATTTTTAAAACAATATCAAACTTTGTCCAAAAGTATTTTTCCTTGTTACCCACCCTCCCTAAGATACATTAGTTGCTAAGCGCGAAATGTAAATTGTTTTTGAATTGAAATAATTTTAAAGAAAAATGACAAAAAGTTTGTATTAAAACATGTTTTGTCAAATGTTTTAGTTTGAATATTTGTATTGGCTATTGGAGAAAGTATATTAAATGGGAATTTTAGCCATTTGAAGGGATAACTTGGCATTTTTTATCAAGTTTTATAAATGGCTGACAGTGCAAACTCTTCAAAATGAACAAAATTTTAAAGCATGTAGTTTAAGTTGTATTAAACTTGAATGGCTGATGTAGAGTCAGTTTCTTCTTCTGTTGTCCGAGAATATTTAAGTAGAAAGGTAAGAAGTTTAAATATTTATTACAGGTTTTAATTTTAAACATATAGTACTGACACATAATTCACACACACACACACTGACACACACACATATATATATATATATATATATATATATATATATATATATATATATATATATATATATATATATATATATATATATATATATATATATATATATATATATATATATATATATATATATTTAAAAACATTTGTTTACATAAACATACTTGTGTATTTTCAGGGTTTAAAGGAAACTTTGTCAATGTTGGACAAAGAAATGCCTCGGACTGATAATTGGTAAGTTTATACTTTATAGACCTCTGCTAAAATCGATACAAATTTACCCATAATCCATTGTTACAGTAGAAAAAGTCGATTAAAGACCAAGTTTGTAGCTGAAGGCTGATTTCCAACAGTGTGCGACACTCGTAGATGTTGATTCTCTGTTATCACATATTGTAATTTATCTGTGGTTGTTGCAATAAATAAATAAATTTGTTTTGTTGCGACAGTCGGCAGTTAAATGGTAGACCACTATTCACAAGTTGTCAGCTAGTGACTGCAGTGTCGCTGACCAATGAAAACCAGCATTAGCTAAAGGCACAGAATAACAACTTAACCAGAAGCTCCACTCTCCACATTACACTTGTTTAGCTATCTGAAATGAATGCGGCCAAGGCATACAAATTTGTACAAGAGTCACACTTGTTTCCAGATTGCTAAACAAGTGTAATTAGCTTTTTGGTATTTTGAGAGTGGGACTTCTGGTTAAATTGTTATTCTGTGCTAAAGGCCTGTCTAATTATATACAATATGATTAGTCATAGGTGATTGTAATTCTGTCAGATTAACTGTATACAAACTAAATGCTGACTCTGCAATTCTCCATGCATGCCCTCTGTGAAATAGGCTGAAAACTGCTTATAAAAAAGAACAATAACCTATGTTTACCTTGCCTTGAGGAGGGATAGCTAATTTCTGGTTACTTGCAGCGTCAGTAACCGTGCTCAGCTTGCCAAAGAACTTCATATCAACACGCTGATGAAGAAGAACAAGGAAAGCCAGGAAAGTTTTCGTACGATGCTTGAGGTCATTGTACAGTTTATGATGACTAAAACATGGCAGGAAAAACACTCACAAAACTTAACATCTGCAGAGTCTGTAAAAACTTCAAGGAGTTCATCTGCAAGGTAATAGTAAATCACAATGTGCTAGCTACTGTATCATGCCAGATGATTTTCTGCTTTGTAAATTAATTTTACTTTATGTTAATGCCAGATGTTGTTTGTTGGTTAACCAAACCCATCTTCCCAAGGCATATCTCTGGTTGACATATTAAGCTCAGCTATTCCCCTTGTACTTTGTCATTTTGACCCTGTCTAACACCAGGCAATTTTTTCCCTCAAGATGAAGGTGTTGGGTGTTAATGACTTAATGGATGTCATATACCATTTTATATATGCTACTGTATTCATTACCAAAAATAGAATGATTATTAATTTTATTGTCAGTATATATTGTGTTGACTTGTGGAATTTTTTAGAGATGATGGACAGGATACTGCAAAGTCTTGTGAGAAAACAGATTATAGAAACATTAGTGCAAGTCAGAGAGAAACTGATAAGACTGAGAGATCAGAAAGAAAACAGAATATAAAAAATAGAGTTACAAGTCCTGTTAGTAGGACTTCATTAGATGATAAAATGAAATCAAGTGATGAACATTTGTTGGTGCTTGACAGTGTAAAGAAGCAAGGCACTGATTTAAGTAGTCAGCTTGAGAGGAGTAAGATGTCAAGTACTAGTAAACTTAAAGAACGTCATTTGTCAGTTAGTAAAGATGAAACCACGCTTGCTTCTGTTCCTGCAAAACAATGCAATCAAGAACTTACTGAGGGATTCTCAGGGAAAATAAATGAAGATGACAACATCTTAAGCAAAAGTCTTCCAGTGAAGAAACGAACCTCGTTGAATGATCCTTCCTTAATAAAATCTTCAAATGTAAAGAAAGGTTTACGAAGGAATGTAAGTAATGTCTCAGGTGGTGTTATGAGCACTGGTCTGCGCAGTTCAGGGAAACATGAGAGGAGAAATTACACTAACGAAGGTTTCAGGGAGAAACCAAAATATTTCGAGGATGATTTGAAGGAAAGTTCAGTTTTTCCAGGAAGAAAAAGTTTAGACAACTTATCAACTGACGAAGAAATGGCGGGCAAACAAGAATTGTTTTCAGGGAAAACGACAAGAAATGTTAAAGACGATTTTAGAGAAAAATCGAAATATTCGGTGGAGGTTGTGAAGGAAAGTTCAGATTTTCACGGACGAAGAAGTCTTGAAAAGATGCGAGAACCACTTTCTGTCAATAAGGTAAGCTGTTTCTTTCATTACTATTCTTACAATACTTTCTTACAAGTCTGCAGGCGTTAAGTGTTTAGTAATTGAAATATCTTACAAACGTTTTCAAATTAGAAAGAAGAGAACGTGGTGCAAGATTGGAAGACGGAAATTCTGCAGAAAAAAGACGTCAGGTTCGTGGATTTTATCCAAACCTAACTTCATTTTATGTTCCGTAATTACATACTATTACCGTTCTAATTATTTTTTAATGCATTCTAATTTCATTGTATTCACCTATTACAAGTTCTTTTCTTCTTGAATTACAGGAAGAATATGTCGTCACCGCAGTCGAAAGCAACGAAAAATGTAAGTAAAGTGTGCTGTATTTTCTTACACTTGCATTGCTAATGAACACCAGGCTTTGCAACAAACTAAATTTGAAATGTTCTGAAAAAGAGCTACTCAGGCAAATTGAAACAAGTTCGTTCAAATGTTGTCTTTTCAGGAAGATTTAACATTTGAAGACATCGACGAAACTTTGGATGATGAATTGCAAAAAATCAATTTCAGTAAGTTATCAAATGACATTACGCGCACATTCAACAGTGTAATAAGGTTCTATTTTTCTTCTTCTAAGATGCCAGTCCTCGGAAATCCACCATACCTTTGTTTCAATGTCAACCCATCACACTGAAACAGGCCAAGGTACTGTTGAATACAACGTTAACGCGGTCAGTGGGCGTCAATAAACGTCAGAAATGTTCATATTTATTGGAGGAAGAAAGTTTAAAGACTAAATCTCTTAATGTTATTTATTTGTCACCAAATTCAAGACAACTTAGTCTGTCTTTGCCGTTAGTAATGTGTTTTATTTCCACAGGATCTGAAGACAATCGTGTTTGGCTCGACAGTGAATAGTTTTAACTCAGAATGGAGAAATCAAGGGTTTACATTTTGTCATTTAGATCATTTGAAGTACGGAATTGTACAACATAAGGTATCGGACGTCCACTTGACGTATTTGTTTTCAATAATTGAACATTCTCATGCAAACATTGCAGTGGTGAACGTTTTGTTTTTAGGGCGGACCATGCGGTTTACTCGCCTCGGTTCAGGCTGTTGTTTTAAAACAATTGTTATTTAATGATCGTGTGTCCACCAATAAACAGTAAGTAAAAATAAATCTTTGTCTGACAGCGTCTTATCGATCGTATAGACCCATTGCACTGTCGTCACAAATCCTTAGAGTGTCCTCCAGATGCTCCCTAACAATATCTGTTCGGGTACAACAACCACATACAGCGCGAAAATTAACCATTTTAATACAAAATTATTATAAAGTTTTACAAAATTTGCTTTGTTTACAAAAGTTATATTATGCATAGATTGCTAATTTGTCCTCCAGATGCATCAAAGCCATCATTACCAGGGCTGTGACGTCATGTGTAATGGGTCTATTCTTTCCATTATATCGTGCAATTCCTTCCTTGTTTAACTTTCTTTTCTTTAATCTATTACTTTCTTTTACATCCTTTTTCAACAACTATAAAATATTTCTATATTTTTTAGACGTTTAAATTTCTCATCGCAAGAAACAAATGATGCTCTCTGCTCAGCTTTGGTTGAAATACTTTGGAGAGCTGGTAGTTACAAAACAGCTCGAGTAGCTGTGTAAGTGTAAACGCATCGTATCAACAATTTGGAGAGGTTATGTTTAGGGAGGTGTCGCACACGTCAGAACAAGCGCCTTTCACCTCTGAGTTCGTGGGTTCGATTCTCGCTACGGACTCATGTGTAACGAGTCAGTCAATGTTCTGGCGGAAGTCGTGGGTTTTCTCCGGGTCCTAGGGATGCTTCCACAGGGAAAGTTCGACGTTGACAGGGTGGGTTAGGATAAACACTCGATAGGATAAATCGTAGCTCTAAGTCATGCAAAGTATGGTTTAGTTGACAGATGCGCGTTTTTAAGATATCTTCAAATGATTTTTAGACGTTCTGAGAAAGACCAGTTCATACCAAGTGGAGGCTACAAAGTTGACAGATTGAGTGAAAAGGTGATAAGTATCCTAATTTGATCATACTACATTTCCATTATTTAATCACCGCAATAATTGCTATGCTTCACTCAAATCCAGTCCGGTCCTTGACTTCTGTTAATTTTGTGTATTTCTAGCTTGTTATCTATGAAACAAATGACTGCAATGAATTAGAAATATTTATTAAGGAAAACATGAAGCAGGTAACAAAATAAAAATCTCAATTCTTCAAAGCTCTGTGCTTGACTTGAACCAATTGTCTTTATTTTAGTTTGCCTGTGACGATGCTGGTTGTATTCTTCTGTTATATTCTGCGATCCTCTCAAGAACGGTGGAGAAGTAAGATCAGTTTATTGAGAGTTTAGTTTTGAGTTTATTGAGTGTCTCACTCATTGGTGAGCGGATTTACCAAAAGGCTATTGCCCAATTGATATGGGATCCGAGGTACCTACGATTTTAACGTTCTTATCCGAGAAGACGCGAAAGTCTAACCATTTACTGATGTCAATGTAAAGGTAGCTCTTTTTCCTCAATTGTTTTAAGACCTTGGGTAGAGGTCCGACCAAGGATTGAACCCAGATCTCTTAAAAGGCAAGCGTGATGACTACGACACCGCAAATACTGGAGCGTATAGTTGCACCGCTACCTACACTGGACGCTAGTGATTCATTGTTGATAAATAGTTGGTACGTCTAAATATTTCAATGGTTCGATGTTTTTTAAGAATAAAAGAGGATATGGATGATGATAATGGAACATTGATGGGCGCTCATGGATATTGTACACAGGTAAAATGTTCCTACGAAAAACACAATCTATATCAACGATTGGTTCATGGTTGATGAAATAAGTAAGCACAGTGTAACTTTTGTCACACTTGCTACAATCTCTTTTCTTGTTTGATTTCGTTATTATTAAACCTCGAAAACTTTATTCTTATAGTTTGTTCTGTTTATCATTCTCTAGTTTTGTATTTTATATTATGTAGGATATGGTCAACTTACTTCTAACTGGGAAAGCAATTTCGAACACGTTTGATGATGTTATTGAACTTGACAGCGGAGGAGACACGAAGGTTCCTTTCTGCACATTATTTTTATTGACTTTATTTTTCTGTTCTTGTATAGTAATATTTCTCTTTTCTAGAATATTCTGAAAGGCGTGGACAAACAAAGTGATATCGGACTTCTATCATTGTTTGAACATTACAAATCCTGTTTGGTAAGACTTGGCCCACAAAAGAGAAACGCGTATTTATGTTCACTATGTACGTTGAGAACCGAATTCTCGGGTGTTTTACTCTTGTTTATCCCAATGCAGGTTGGTTCCAACTTAAAAAGTCCAAAATATCCAATCTGGGTCGTCTGCAGTGAAAGTCACTTCAGTGTTCTTTTCTCGATGAAACGAAGTCTTGTCAATGAGAGGTATGGAATTCATGAAGAGATACAGCTCGGAATGAAACATATATACAGGGTGTATAAAAAAAAACTGAACAGATTTGAAATTGCTCTCAATTTCGCAAAACACCTATTTATATCCGGTTTTTTATATATATAGCTTCTTTGGGTACTTATAATGTAAAATAATGAAAAAAATTTCTCGAACTCAAATTTTGTGAACCAGGGGGTGTGTCTTTTCCAACAAACTAAAAATGGCTCGCGCACAAAATTTAAAAGCT